TGAGCTCCCAGAGGAGTCCGTTGTCCAGCCTGAAGACAATCGCGCTACTCTTCGTCGGGTTTCAGTGTAGCTTCCAGTGAGAAAAATACTGTCTCAGAATAGCTAGGTCTGCCGTGAACATGCGGCTTATCTTCGGCAAGTCGGTATGTTCGGTTCCTAGCGCCATATTATTTGTATAAACGAACTTCGTCGATGATGTTGGTAGGAGGTCGTTTGTACAGATGTTAAACAAGGATGAAAAAAGTACTGCACCTTGCGGAAGACCGTTTTTAAGGGTCTTTTTCTTGCTGACCCGTCCATCGATATTGATCCAGTAACAGTGGCCACTGATTATGGCTGCAATAAGGCAAAGGGTCCTATGACATACATCTTATAGCTCTAGAAACTTTGCACATTCCAGACCACGCATCAGATCAACAACTCCTGTTTTATGTTTCCGTTGAACTACTGCCTCAATGACGCTGGTAAGCGAATGCAACTACTCGTAATAACTGCGCACAGGCTGATAACCAGGGAGAGCGGTTTCAATTATAGAGGAAAGTCCGTTAACAAAGTTCGCTTCATTAGGTTTCTGGCTGTACAAAGCAAGGAGACAAGCCCGTAGCTGTATTACCCCTCAGGGGGTTTTTCTGGTATAAGGAGTATGACGGCTTTTGGTATACCGCAAGGCGGGTGGATTTTGTCCTGTTGTGTGGAATGCTGCGAAAAGAGAGTTAAGTTACAGGTCGGCCATTTGTATCCAAATTTTTAAGAAATTCAGGGAAAATTCTATTTATGGCAGCAGCAGTGAAATTCGTGGTGCCCAGTAACATATTTATTTCCTCTAGAGTGAATGGAGCTGATAAAGAGCCGGTTTCAGGGAAAGTGGCAAGGTTAAGAAAATATTGTTTCTTCACCGTCCTGCGGGCGGCTGTATTTGTTGGTGTTTTAGTCGTGTGGAGGTGAGCAGCAAACGGCGTCAGCGGAAACCTTCGCAACTGGCTGATGTGCAGGTTCAGCGGCGACAAGGTGGCGCAGCAGTGTCGATGCCTTGTGATTCGAGCTGTGAAGTTCAGCGTTTCCAGTCTCCTTCCATCGTCTTTAAAGCTCCAAATTCAGGATTCGAAGAGAGCAGCTACAATTTTAGGGAATTTCTTGGTGCCGGCACTTTTTGAAAAGGTTATGTGTCTTTTGACCAACAACAGATGTGGATGCTCCTATACCCACGAGAGATATTGGTCGCCACAGTAGAGGTGAATAATCGCACAAAAATCCTGCAAGAACGATGGGTAGGGGAGATCCGTTTGATAGGGTCTGCGACTTCGGCAGTGTACGACGGCCAGTTTGATTTTCGAAAGTTCCAGTGCGGTAGCGGAGCCGACTAAAGAAGCGCTAACTGCAGAGCGATTCGGAGCACTACAGAGCTATGCTGGCTTTACGGAAAGAATCCTAGCACCGTGCTGGAAACAAGGAGAGCGATGCCGCTACGGTCTTGGGAGATGAAACAAATGTTCGGGCATCGATAATTCTCCCGTCTGGCTGCATAGCACCAACACAAGTATATGCAAGCTGTTGATGTCCAGTATGTTAGTTGCCTATCTGCCGCATCGTTCACTGAATAGCTGCATGTCTTACTGTAGTTGTTGAAGTCGCTCGCGTACAACAGCTGGATGAGACAGCTTTGGTTGCGGTGATGACCAAATGATTCCTGGTCGCTTGCATATGTTCATTATACCGATTTCTCTTTCGAGACCATTTAGTTCGCCGATTCGATTTTCGCAAAAGTTCATCGCCGCGATATCCTTGAGATCTACTCTGGCATGGGTGGTTAAACTGTCTAGAGTTACTGATGTTAGCCACTACACAGAACCCAGCAACATCATATGCGGCTGTTCTGCAATCGTCTTTGATGTGCGTCCCTTGCAGAACGGCAATGTCAATCCCGTTTTCTTCTAACGTCCTCAATAGATATTAACAATTTGCGTAGGAAATGCCTTCGATATTCATCTAGAAAATGCTGAGTATGTGGCCCACTCCCTTGGTCCGTATAAAGATCGTGGGTTTGTGTGCTCTTTTTTATGAGCCTCATAAGGATCGCTGGATTTATTTTGTACCTTTTCACATTTCTGATTATGCAGAGGACCGTTGGGTTTGTTGCGAATCAAGACGAGAGATCGCCTGCGCAACATTTAGCTGCCAGGTGACGACATTCGTCGCACTGTTAAGCTTTGGCTAACTTTCACAATACGTAACATGAGCAACATATGATGGTTATCGTCTTGCTTCCAGATTTTAACTGAAATGGTGGGAGTTGATGTATTGCTGGGTAGAAAAAATAAGAGTTCCATACCAGTGTCTTTTTCTTTACCGTACATTGCTTAGATCGCATACGAAGGAATTCTTCTATCTTTCGTCTTCAGAAATTCCTTTCTCAGCACACTCTGATAATTTGATGCTACATGTTGTTTTGGCACTGTAGATTGTACAGCAGCCGAGTACTTTATTTTTCTTCATGAAATGCAGTTCATTCGTTTGTCTTTACTTTTTGTCTTGCTGTGTTCATCCATTCTGGCAAAAATTAGTATTTTGTTAGGCATCCGTGGTACTTTTTCTGTCTTTCATCTATTGCGTAACCCGTTTCTACTACATACTTAAAACAACCCACGAAAGGTAAGGGGAAAATCCAAACTCGCTTGCTGAAAGTTGTTTTGACCTAAATAAAATTGGTATTCGAAGCTTTTAAACGACCATTTATAATTTTTCACTTAGATGTTGCAAATATACAGAATTACAACGTTGGTATTGAATTTCTGCCCTTCATTTCTATTTCTTGCTATTCTTCATTGTTGACCGGGAACAGCTTCTTCTGTTAAACGTGTAAGGTGCCACTGTTTCGAGGAGCTTTCCTTATGTAAGTCAGTTCTTTCTGAATTTAATCATCATCTGAGTTTAGCTCGAACCATCTGTTCAATAGACGCGATGACTTACTTCACATGATGTAAATGGTTGGCACGAAAAGGAAAGAATTTATCAGTATGCGCCAGCTCATACATATAATTGACTTCTGTTCCTTGTTTTCGTGAGGAATACCCTGAGATAAGTAAGAACGCAGAGTGCTGTATTTCCATCGTGAATATGATTTTTTCGGTTATAGGGTGTTTACATAATACGGGAAGAGGATTGGTGTATCTTTTTCATACGTGGAGAATATAGTATGCACACACTTTTTTAAGGAAATTTGGTAAATTTGTTCCACGACCACATTTCAGCGCAGTAAACACACGCCAAATAAGAGCAAAAGGTACTCTCGTGAAGAACAGGGACAGGGGAATTCGACGGGCTGGGGACATAATTCGGTGTGCAGCTGCTGAAGGAACGTTGTTATCGCCTACTGGTACCTTAAGGGTCGTCAAAGACAGTTCGGTGGCCCTTCGAAAAGAAGGGACGGGATATATTAGAGGTCTAAAAATATTATTATGGAAAAATATGATCGAATGAAAGGAGAATGGAGTAAAAATTGTGACGGTGTAATCTATCTGACTGGAAGTACAATATTAAAATGGTTTATTAAATCAAAACGCACTACAAGTGGACCATTCAAAGAGAGACGAACATCGAGGCTTCCGTCCATAGATCACGAGTCTTATTCATAGCAAAAGTAGCGGCAGTTTTCGGTTGCAGTTGCGGTCGTCAAAACAGTGGCACCTCCTTCGTTTTAACCTGAGGTCAATGCTCCCTCTTAATTAGCCTGTTAGCGACGGGTGAAAAGAGTTACATTCAATCCAGGCAAAGTTTGCATCCGCTGTCAGGGCTGCATAAACAAAATGTCTCATTAGAGAGCCAATTCGGCCAGTTTCTTCCGCTGACGACGCCGGTTCACTCCGGCCATTCACGAAAGATGGCATCTCTTGCTTCAGGATACCGCAACTCCTTTCATACTGGAGCTAGACTCGGCGCTGAAGGGAAGAGGTTTTGGAATGCTTCGCATGAAAGTATCACTGGCGCTTATTGGCGATCATCCATCTTCCCTATCATTGTCCTTCGGAACGATAATGTTCCCTGTTTCTCCTATGTAATATATACAGTATAATAACCCCCTAGGCAAGGTTTACAAATTATGTAAGGGCGAACGGCAAAAACTTCACGGATAGACCGGTTTAAATAACGAAACTTACCTAGAGAAACATAGCGTTCGTTAATTAAATGAAGCATGACATGTCTCAGGTAACAAGCCATGTACTGATCACGCTCCTTCAGAAATACCAAACTCAGTTCCGGGAACTCGCCGGCCATTTCTTTCAGTAGTTCTTCCAACAGGTCCCGCTGTTTGTACTTTTCTACATCTTCTTTGCTGAAATAAAGCGAACCTTATGACGTAAACAGCAAGAGTTATGCTACGAAAGTACCATGGGACTTGACAGCAATTACACTGATGAAATCGCTTAAATACGACATATGACAGCCATGACCCGCTTTATATTAATTTTTACAATGGTGACTGAAAATCGGCATATAAAAGTGCAAGCTTCAAGCCATACAAGGTATATTTTTCAATGTATCGATTCATCCATAGGTGCTTCCTGAAGAAAAGCAGACGACTATACTTTTACTTTTTTTGCGTTAGAAAGCAGCTACATATCAAGAAACAAAATGATATTCCAAAGTATGAATTAGTTTATCAGTTTTCACAACCTTCCTTTTGGTTCTGTTCCTTTTCAGTTGTGTATAGTATCTTAAGAAAATTTTATAAAAAATGATCCCAGAGTTCCATCAGTCAGAAAATCACAATGGGTTGGGTTCCCTGCAGCAACAATGCCACATGTTTAGTATATCAAACTATTTGACCTCCCCCGGCATTAACCATAGGTGTCGAGCAAATAGTTTTACCAAAAATGTTAATCCGGTGAGTCACTTCTCGGTAAAACACAATATGTTCAAACCATGACATGAAACTGTGGTTGCTCGATATCAAAGGGCGGCACATGAACCAGAACATCTCGCAGTGGATCATTCAGAAGACTGTTGAACATCGTGTGCATTTATCAAGGTTAACGTATACCGTGCATTAATTCCACATTACATCTTTACCGAAGATACTGCAAGCTGATTCATAACTTTGTTTGAGTAGAAACAATAACTCAATGCATCCCTGTTCATGCATTCGCTAAACTGGGTAATCAGGTTTTCTTCATGCTTTCACTAATACATATCTTTCATGGCAAACTAGGCCGCCTGCTTTAACAACATGCTTACCGCTGTCGACATCTCTTCACATGCGGGCATTATGACTGTCTTCTCCGTTCATTTTTTTCCATCTATTGATTCATTTTCAGAGATTCATATTTTTCTCTGGATGATACTGTCCGAGGAAGATTTTGAAGGTTCCGGCCCTCTCAGCAATACAGTAACATACAAGCTGCACTGGCCGGTTGCCAATGCATGATATAGCAAGGTATTCAATACAATCTCCCAATCGGATGAATGCGAAACTGCTCTGCAAAGACTCCATCTTGTGAGTTTTCCTCTGGTAACCTGACTATGTCGAGACGCGTATGAACCATACGCGTCTCGATTTGGCCCGGAGTACAGACATCAGGGAGAGCCTTGGTGTACAGCCGCTGTCAGACTGAGAAGTCAAAGCAGCGATGGTTTGGGCACGTGTTATGAATGTCTCCGCAAAGGAAGGCAAAGTAACTACTTCTTGCCCAGCTGAGCGGCAGAAGGCACAGAGGACAGCCAAAAATAACC